GCGCAGTTTTTTGTTGTTGATGCTGCTGCTCATCCTCTGCCTCAGTTTTCCTCAGTCGCCTCTTACACCACCCCCGGGAAGATATGGGGTAGTGAGTATTCTTACCCGCCACTACACGGGGTAGTAGTCGTCAAGTATGGGTATCGAAATAGAATATACTCGTAGATTAAAACAATTCTGGTTTTGATAGGGTTATGCAGCAATTAATTCGCCACGCTCCCCCATTGCGTGTTGGCAGAAATCACAACACCACTTACATCGTCTTAATTATATGACTGCCGTTTGTGTTTGGTTGTGTGTTTGTGTTTTTGACACTGTCTGCAAGTAATAAAATCAAGCGTTACTTTGCGTCTGATCTGAGTCTGATCCGACCAAAAAGTATACTTCGGATATTAAAGTATGTATACAACAGTCATCATATGTTTTCCTGACCATAACGTATCACGCAGCAGTCTTGCCCCAATGAATCCTCTAGCACCCATTTTATATGGGTTACCAAAAATACATAAATAACAGGTTTTTATTCATCCAGTTGTATCATATATAGGTGCACCAGCTTATTTCCTTGCTAAAAAGTTAAATTTCCTTCTGCGGGAGAAGTCTGGATTCAATCCAACTTACAGCCTTAAAAATAGTTTAGATCTCATTTCCAAAATTAAAGATATTCGTATTCTTCCTAAATCCATATTGTTATCTTTAGACGTTGATAGTCTTTTCACAAATGTCCCATCCCCAGACTGTTTACGTATACTCGCAGATCTCTTTGATAAACGTCGTCTACATCCCCGGGAAACAAATGATCTTCTAAACTTAACCTCTCTCTGTGTAAAACAAAACTATTTCCGGTATAATAACCACTTCTATTTACAAAAGAAGGGCTAGCCATGGGTTCCCCTCTAAGTCTTCTTATGGCGGACATTTTTATGGATAATTTCGAAAAACAACACATAGTTGTCAATCAAAATATCCTATACTATTATCGATATGTAGACGACATCATTATTTGCTGGACTGGTACAAACAGGCAACTGGATATTTTCCTTAATAAAATTAATAAAATCCACGACAAAATTAAATTTAAGCTTGAATTGGAACAAGATTGTGCCCTTAATTTTCTCGACTTAACAATAACAAGAAAATAATCGTCACATGTTTTCCAAATTTTTCGAAAACCAACTCATACCGTCACGGTCATTCCTGCGTCATCATGTCATCCATGGCAACATAAATTAGCCGATTTTTATTGTTATATTAATCGTTTGTTTACTGTACCGTTAATAAAGAAAATTATTTAAAAGAGATTAATGTGATTTATCAAATTGCGGTCTCTAACGGTTATTCTAAGAATATCATTGACAATCTAATAAAAAAGGAACAAAAACTTGTCGTACACAATTCTCTGTACGCGGTTAAATCTCAAAGTGATCGTCAATATGTTGACAGTTTGACCTACTTAGGTTCTATATCTGAAAGAATAGCTACTCCTCTTCGACAGAGTGGCGTGTACGTGGCATTCAAAACAAACAATTCACTTAGGAATATCTGTAATTATAAAGATAAGTTAGATATTCGTCTAAAGTCTGGTGCTTATAAACTTATTTGTGACGAATGCCAAGCCGTTTACGTGGGTCAGACTGGTCGCAACTTCGAAACACGTTATAAAGAGCATTTAGCCGCGTACAGGAATTGTAAACCCGATAAATCACATTTTGCTAAACATCTCTTAGACACTGGATACAGACTAGTCAATGAATACTCCTTTAAAGTCTTACATACTTGTAATAAAGGGCTACGACTGTGTGTGCTGGAACAGTTAAAGATATTAAAAAATAATAACGGTAATGTTGCACTGCTGAATGAACAAACAAATGTTTCCAACTCGCCTCTCTTAAACATGTTTAAGCCTGCTCCTTGATGATATATAGCCTCGCAACATGGTCGTTTGTCACCATCACGGTGCGGAACTCTTATATTTTTTATTATTTATTACTCAATTTTAAAGTAAATGCTTGCCTTCGTCGGCAATACTAACTTACAAGTTAAGGAAAAATTGTTACTAACATACTAACAATCTATGGATTTTTCTTACGTCTGAAATAAACACTTATTATTATTATTATTATTATAGGCCTTCTCAAGGAATGCCACAAAGTGAGACAAACCGAGCATGATAAGTAAATAATAGTATACACCAAATGTTAGAGAATGAACTTTTATAAAAATAATATTACACCACAAAATACGAATCCTACAGACATTCATCAAGTAAAAGGTAAGAGGCAAAATGTGCGCGACATTATTTAACACGGACGATAAAATTGTAATGGCCGACATAAAGTCACGTTCACGTTCATAAATAAAGTTGATATTTGTCATATGCACAGCGCTCTCGAAACAGAGGAAATGGGAGAATATTCGATGAACTTGTAGATAAAGTGACATACTGTTTGGGCCCCGATATTGATTTTGTCGCCTCTAGACCAAAGTTAAACACAAAAATTACAGGTAGTGGATAGACACCTGAGGCATAGGTTACGCATAAATAAGCATTACGATGCAGTATTTTACTTTGATATAATCCAGGGTTTTTTTTTAAATAAACTACTTTATCTATATTTCCTTAAGGCATTGGTAATTTTTTTTATTTCAGCCTTGATTTGCGTTACACACTGCTATCCGATGAGCTAGACGACAGTGTGTAAATCTTCGTAAAACTCATTACCAGGCATAGTTACCACAACCGGATTTATTCCAGCTGTTTGATCGTAACCCAATGCTATTTCGTACTATCGGCTAGGACTTCCAGCTGCTGGTGTGTCACCTTCAACGAGGCGCAAAACAGTTCTAATTATAAAAGGACTTAGTTAGCCTTATGGCCTATGCTATCCAGCAGCTAGTTCAAATCACGTGTGTGAATCTACGCCCAATATACTTGGGCTCGGTGAACTACCTGCAGACACAGTGATTAACCATCTCAATATTTTTCCTAAACAATTGCCTTCGAGTCGGTATGTGAAAGCAATTCTAACTTATTGGGCTGTGGTTAGTTAAATTATCCTTATTCTGGTACACCGGTTTAGAACGAGTTAGGATCAACGACTATCTGTAAAATGTAAGTTTTCCATTTGTAAGCCTTGCAGTCCATCAAGAATTCCTTCTTTGTTAATACCCATTCTTCCTACTTCTGCCCTAACTATAACATCAATATGCAGGTAGGATGGGTATACTGCACAACTTCAAGGAAAAACATTGTCACATCTGTTAAAAAAAAGTAGTAAAAGTAGGATCGGGACTTTTTTTTAAATTAATTTTACAATATAAATAATTACGAACTATTTACAAATTTTATTTTAGAAACTGCTTGAAAGCGACCATCTCATTCCCAGGGGTTATTATCAAGCATGTATTCATTTATACTATAATAACCCTTTTTATACAGTTTCAGCTTAATAAAACATTTAAACTTGGTAATAGAGAGAACCTGTATAGTTTCCGGGACCCTGTTGTAATAGCTTATACATTGCCCCAAGAATGAATTACTGACTCTGTGGATTCGAGAAACTGGCATCACTAGTTTGTGTTTTTTCCTAGTGTTTACAGAATGTTTATCACTTCTTTTACTATAACTATCTTTGTTTTTGTGAACATACATTAAATTTTCATAAATATACTGAGAGGCCAAAGTTAATATATTTATTTCTTTAAATTTATCTCTAAGAGACTCTCCCGGTTTTACATTGTAAATAGCTATAATGGCCCTCTTCTGTAAAACAAAAATAGTTTCTGAATCAGCCGCATTTCCCCATAGCAAAATCCCATAAGACATTATGCTATGGAAATAACTGAAAAAAACTAATCTAGCTCTCTTGACACTAGTGAGACCTCTAATCTTTTTACAGCATAAGCTGCAGAACTTAGTCTGCTTGCTAATTTAGATATATGGGGGCCCCACTGAAGCTTTGCGTCGAGAGTGATGCCAAGAAAAACAGTGGATACAACAGGGCTCAATTCCTCCCCATTTAAAAACACATTGTTATTCAGATTTTTAACATTCGTTGTTGTAAATTTAATACAATTAGTTTTATTTCCGTTTAAATGCAGATTATTAACGTTACAGTGGTCCTTCACTGCTGGCCGTATGAGGAAGCTCAAGGTCGCTCAGCGAGCTATGGAGAGGGCTATGCTCGGAGTTTCTCTGCGTGATAAACTTAGGAATGAGGATATCCGCAGTAGAACCAGAGTAACCGACATAGCCCAACGGATTAGTAAGCTGAAGTGGCAGTGGGCCGGCCATATAGCTCGAAGAACCGACAACCGATGGGGAAGAAAGGTTCTCGAGTGGCAGCCTCGTACCGGTAGGCGAAGTGTAGGGCGTCCCCCCACGAGATGGAGTGACGACCTGGTAAGACATGCAGGAAGTCGATGGTTGCAGGTGGCTCAAGACCGTGCTTTGTGGCATTCTTTGGGGGAGGCCTATGTTCAGCAGTGGACTTGTGAAGGGCTGTAATGATGATGATGATATTAACGTTAAACCAATGCACTAATTTTGATATAGCATTATTTACTTCGTCACATTTAAATGATTGACGTTTAAGTTTAAAAATCAAGGAAGTATCATCAGCAAATAATACTATGTCATTACTATCCCCTACAGGGTGAGGTAAGTCATTAATATACACCAGAAACAGGAATGGGCCAAGAATCGAGCCCTGAGGGACATCCATTAGTACAGGTGACCCGGAAGAACTTTTCTTTTGATAATAACCTTCTGCTTTCTATTACTTAAATATTATACATATTCCTTGGCTATATATTATACATATTATTATGTTGTTATGGAATACTATTACAGCAAGTACTATTTACAACCATTTCCTATACTATATTATACAATAAAAAGTATTTATTACTCTATATGTTTTTATTAATTGCTCGTCTACATTTATTATTAATATCTAACACATTTAATATTATATAATTATTAATCTACATTTTTATTATTAAATATCTACTTTCAATCCATTTGCTTTTCCTGCACACCTAACGACATATTCTGCATATTTAAGAAAATGGATACGGCAGTCATCATTGTTAATTACATACTTTAAATTTGTTATATTGATTGCAATTCCCATCTTATGCTCGCATTCCATTCTTTGAATAGTGAATCTAGGACAATCTATTAGCAGGTGTTCAATTTTTTCTTCTATTTCATTACTGCAAACACAAGATGGGGATTGCGCCAACTTGAACTTAAACAAATAAGCCTTAAATCCTCCATGACCAGTTAATAATTGAGCTTTAATATTGTCCATTCTTATCTGTTTCAGTGTCTTGTGAGCTTCTCTTACGTCAGGGAAGAAATTTTTCGTGACTGCTCCTGTTGCTGCTTCACTATATCGTTGCTGCCACTTCACGCAGGTAGAGTCCCTGGTTAGTCGCTTCGCGAAGGATAGCGGACACTTGTCATAAACTGGTGCTTGTTTGTTGGATAGTGCAGCCCTTTTGGCAAGCTCATCAGCCCTTTCATTGCCAGGTATACCGATATGTGCCTTTATCCAGTAAAATTTAACCTCGCCGTTTTTATTTACTAATGATCTTATGCGCTCTCGTATTTCAGCTGCCAAAGGATGAAGGGACGAGCTGTCCGTTAGACACTCTAGAGCTGAACGTGAATCGCTTAGGATTATTCCTTTCTTCAATTCGCCGAACTTGCACATCATATCTAATGCTTTTAATATTGCGGTAAGCTCTGCCTGATAAACGCTACAATAACTTTCTAGCCGAAAGGTAGACTTACGTATTTCGCTGCCATCTTTCCATACACTGACAGCGCCACCAACTTTCCCTTCCAGCTTGCTTCCATCCGTATATAACCTTGGCTTTAGGCAGTCTATTGCTTGTTCCTGATCTAGAGAGCTTATCAGCTCAAAAGACATGCGACATCTTTCAGCAGGATGGGGTAGGCAAAAAGGACTTATTGGTTTTTCGATGTCTCTTCCCGGAAGTTGGTCCAGTGGCTTTCCTTGTTTTATTTCGTAGAGCGAAAGTCGTTCCATTGCTCTTAAGTCGAGAGGGAATATTCCTGCCAGTATAACGCTTGACGGGAAAGAGACTGTTCTGTGACCTTTACAGATTTTGATTGCGAATATTCTTGTTATGCGCTCCAGTCTTTTCTTCATATATTCTTTTTTCACCGTCATAGCCCAGACATTTGCTGCATAAAGAATGGTTGGTTCAACTACTGCTATATATATTGTTTTTACTATATCAGAATGAAGTCCCCAATAATAAGTTTAAGCGCTGTGTTCTTGACACCATAGTACTGTAGCTTCCTGATTAATGTCTCATGGTGAACACAGTCGAAGGCCTTGGAAAGGTCACGAAATATACCCAAAGCATCCTCTGAATTCTCCCATGCACAAGAAATATTTTTAATAAGCTCAACTCCAGCGTCAGGTGTCGAGCGACCCCTTGTAAAACCGAATTCATTTTTATGTAGCAATTTATTAATATTAAAGAAACTTAACATCCGATCTAAAATAAATTTTTCAAAAATTTTACTAAATGATTTACTAAATGGTAGAACCATGCAGCAGCTATGTTATGGTTGTAGCATGAATGGGTCGGCTCGACCGGGGAAGGACCACGCTCTCACAGAATACCAGCGTAAAATAGCAGCTTAATGCTGCTGTGTTTCGTATGGTGAGTACAGAGAAACGGAGACCCTTTTTACTGGAAACGAGGCATTCCATGTTAGTCCTCACGAGTGACAACGCATCCGCATTTTGATTCGTAATTGAGGAAAGATGTGGGTGTCTATGGGCCACAGCAACCACTTACCATCGGGTGGACTGTGTGCTCGTTTGTCACCCTTATCCTATAAAAAAAACAACCTAACAAGATACAATCATAATAACAGAAACAGTTCTTTAAAGCACTGCGCTAATAAATGGCTTAATACTGGTGTTGTTACTTGGCACGCAATTTATTTTTGGATTATTTTAGCCTACATGGGTCAGGAGATATACGAGTATATCGTTCTCTTTACAAGACTGTGGAGTTTCAGTACGTGGACACAGCGTAACGTATTATTTGCAGGCTGTGGCACCGACAACTAAATTTTTCTTTAAGCCATCACAGTTAATGTTATTAACTTATTGTTCAATACATACTCTGTGTATATACTTCATGTCGTACCCTGGAAAATTAGGGACTGAGTGCTCGCTACGATTACACAGTATACTACGTAGTACGAGTACAGTACAGTGCGGGTTTGAATACTGTCGGTATTCAAACCCGCACTGTACTATACTCGTACTACGTATATTCATATTTATTACTATATATGTTAAAATTTTATTTTTATATACTCATTGTAATATGAATAAAGTTGTCTAGCATAAAATAATCCGGGAATTATTATATAGGTAAGATTTATAAAATATTATATTTATATGTAATAAGATGAATTTAAAGAATTCAAATTTCATTTAGATTATTTGAAACGTTGCGGTGATTATTAAGATAACATTAACTCAGTAGAAGACGATATAACTTGCACAAGCTTTGCCGAGCTGAATTCTTAATGCTTGCCGACATAAAATCTTTGCTGGAGGAAAAATATAAAGGATATCAACTCATAATAGTAAAGCGTATTTAAAGACTAAATACACTCTTTCAATCTGGTATAAGTACTTTTATAAACTACAGATAATAGAGCCACTTGTAGCTCGATTGAAATTCAGCTGTCTATATTTTCAATTTATATCGTTCTTGAAATTGTTTTGAGCAATATATCCTTACACGCATAGGAACTGGCAGCTACTCTGTATTTATTGCATTAACGACATGTAATAATAATCAGACTGCGTGGCCACTGCACCCATCTTGAGTTCTAATCCCAGCTAAAGCCAAGCTTGTGAAGAAACACAAATCGTATGTTTTCTCGCCACAATGGATCGTACCACAGTATTGCTAAATTTCTCTGTACAACCGAATAAAAATTATCATTAACATGCACTTCTACAGATTAAGCATTAGACAACTACGTGAATATCAATCGGCCTACATATAATTACAGCTTGATAACGCTTGTGACTACATGGACACTTTCGTTGAAGCCTCACGGTTAATCACATAGCTATTAAACTGTTCATCAGTTGTTAACTTTTCTAACTAAATATTTTGTTCAAGGACAGACGAGGACATGCTGTTAAACTTATAAGAAAGTTACATCTTATTTGAAATCATGATTGTGGTTTAAGTTGATTTTTTATGCAACACGACTGTGTCGGCTCGACCGGGGGTAGGTCTCATAGAATACTATTGTGAAACAGTAGAATAATGCTGTTGTGTTTCGTATGGTGAGTGTAGAAAACCGAAGGCCATTTTTGACTAGCAGCGAGCAACGCAACGTGCATTTTAATTCTTAATCGTGGATAAATGTGGATGGTCTGTGTGCTGTGTACTTGTTTGTTACACTTATTTCAACTCAATTCATTAAAAATGTATTTTATTGGTCATTTAATATGTATTTCAAGTAACATTTACTCCTTTCAACAACTCCAACATAAAATGGACGTTGATATATGTGGGTATCTACAAGCCACAGCGGCATTATCATCCGGTGAATGGTGTTTTTAAAGCATAAGAGTAAAAAATTTACACACAGTCTAGTATTCGTAGTTGCGTGGTTACACCTGAGTCAGTATAAATGGTTTGCGAGTTTATTCACCAATCATAGGAAGAGCTGCCAAGGAGCAATCGGCCGAAAAGCTGAGAGCTATATCCAAGATGTTAGTAACGATTGGATCGGCTAGGCAAGAGTAGGGCCACATTCTTACGAATCAACTATGGACCTAGTATCCAGGCTAGCACTGTGATATAGCAGTAAAGTGCATCTTTAATTTTTAATATTATGGTAATACCTGATGCTTTTAATAAATTGAAGTTCTTCTCAATAGGATAATGTTACCAGTATAAAGACCGACAAATCTTTTCCATTTATGTCGTTTCTCACAATGTAAGGATATCATAAGATATAAAGAATAAATAATGCGTACGACGTCGTAACGCCTAAAGCAACAATAGCTACGTCCAGGAACTACGATTGCTCTGAACGACGGCAGTTTTTACTTGATTTATTAGTTGTTTAACTCAGTAAACTCATTTTGTTACCATAATCCGTCTATTCATTGAATCAACTTGATCCAGACAATTTGTCAAAGTAAATAAAATGCTGTCTCAAAAAATTGATCGTTCATATTGACCGTAACTTCTGTAGTCGTTTATTACATTGTTCAATAAAAAACACATAGGTATTCTGAGAATTCTTTTTCGAAATTAATATCGGCTAAAAAAGGCCTACAAGGAATTTTTCAAACGCGCAAGAGATCATGTATTGCCGCACGAGTACGCATTGACACTACTGTCACTCACTTGTCCTTAACAACTCATAGTCGATAAATTGTGAGCAACTATGAACTTTTAATAGAAACTTACATTTACTATTATACACGGTACGTTGCCTCCAGCTAGGTGAGTGTAGAGAACCGGAGACCCCTTTTACTGGAAAAGAGGCATTCCATCTTAGTACTCACGGGTGACAGCGCATCTGCATTTTGATTCGCAAACTAGGATAGATGTAGATGTCTATGGGCCACAGATATTAATTACCAACCATGTGGACTGTGTCTCGTTTGTCACCCTTTCCTATATAAAAAAAATATTATGCAAATAGAGTACGCATTATAAAGCTATATCTTTAAGAAATTCAAAGTGAATTCGTAAATAGGTTTAAAGTTATTCTTCTGATGGTTTTGTCCTCACTCTGTTTACAGAATTGCACTTAATACCTTTTTATATAGGATAAGGGTGACAAGCGAGTACACAGTCCACCTAATGGTAAGTGGACTGTGTGTCCACTTACCATTAGGTGTACAAGAGACATTTGAGAAATAAAACGTTTGAACACAAAAGGAGTAGTACGACTAATAATCAAAGACTCTTTTTACTGGAAAATAGACGAATCCATTTTAGAACCCATGGCTGACAACGCATCTGCAGTTCGATTTAAAAACGAGGATATGTAGAAGTATATGGGTCACAGCATCCACTTACGATCAGGTGGACTGTGTGTTCGTTTGTCACCATTGCTTAATAAAAACTAAATAAAAAACATACAGTCGAATTGAAATCCTCCTCATTTTTGGAAGTCGGCTAAAAACAGTCACAATGGTGATGTGGAACGTGTATAGGCTTTTTTGTTATTTATTATATAGGGCTAAATCATATAGATCAGACTTGAAGTAAAAGAAAAACAGAAATTCACGAGGAAGAAAGTTGTAGCGAAGTAATTTCCGTCAGTAAAAGCGAGAGAGAATTTTAATAAAAGCTCTCTCAGAGGATTATTAGGTCTCTTATTCTTGACGCTGCTCACTGTTGCCGGTCTGGATATTTTACTCTATCTACTCACTTCAGATAATATTATTTAAAACCTTAAAAACATTACATTGTATTAATGTAATTATTATAGGACATAAATAGATATGCCTTGCCAATACGCACGTACTGTGCATACAAATTATGCAAAGCCGACTAATTTCCGGAGCCTTAGCGAAAGTAAATATGTTGTGGAGTGTCTGTCTGTAATATCAGAATTCCTGCCTTCTATGTAGCTCAAGGGGTTATTTGCGTACATGTGAATAATCATTTAAGAAAAACTGTCGGTCCTTCTGTATGTCCGGACTAATCATTGGAATGGTTAAACCGATTGTGATGAGGCTTTACGAACAGACAGAGAGCATTGGCAGGTGTGCCCCTGACTGATCTGGCATCGTCTTAAAGTTGCGTAACATTATGTAGGCATATTATCAAAATAAATGAAATCTCTACAGTAAGAACATGAATTAACAACGTCCTAGCAAACGCGTTAATTTTGTAGATCGTTAAGCTACGTGACCATTATGTGAGGCCAAAAATAATTTCCATAACCCTCTAGATTTACGATATGCGAAGGAGATCGGAAATTAATTTTATTATTGTTGCATATTATAAAATGTGGTGGGTAGTTTTAGCCGGTAAGCGCGCATTGTATTTCCGTCGCCAGTTCAAATAAATGCCTGTACTCGACGCACGCCTTTTATTTATCAATTATGTAATATAATTTATTTGCCTAAAATCACCTTAAATTATACACACG